GAGAAGTGCTAAGGGAAAGCGATTTGGAGCCATTCTGCTAGGCTCTTTGCTAACTGAAATGTTAAGTATGCACAGGTTATAGACATTATTAAACATGTAGGAACACAAGAAGGTTAAAACTTGAAAAATGCAAAATTGTGCCCTAGCGAACCCGATCCACAAACTGCTTTCCTGTCGCGCCACTGCGTTATCCACCACACCATCCGTCAACCCAGTGGGCAGCGGTGCGATTGAAGAATTGCAGTGCTACCTGGCTATATGCCACGTTTCGCTGAAGTTATTTTGCTGTTTTCGATGCGAATTCAACGAACACATAAAATATGCATGCTAAAAATTACAGTACAAATTGTCACCTTCTTGTGTTCCTACATGTTTAATAATGTCTATAACCTGTGCATACTTAACATTTCAATTAGCAAAGAGCCTAGCAGAATGGCTCCAAATCGCTTTCCCTTAGCTTTTCTCACTCATTTTTTTGGCATTCTCAGAAATGCATAGCAAAAAGAAACCCATTTTGTGATCCTTATATGGACCCCTATAACATGCAACAAACCATTTCTAAAAAGCGCGCCACGATCTGACTGAGCCTCCCTTGTCAGATTTGCCCGAGGATTTCCTTGAAATGCTCCCCTCCCGCTTTTGTCGCAGTGCGTGCTCCTTTTCTCGTTTTGCGCTGAGAATTGCTTGGTTGATTTCTCGTTGAATATGGTTGAATACCTTTCATGTCTGCTCGTTTCAGAAGAAGCTCGTGGATTATAAGCCATTTTTGTTACCATCTGGTGTTTCGATTCTCGACGAGCGGGAATATCCTCTGTAAGCTATAGCATAATTCAACTAGTCTCTTAACGTGCAGGAACCTGCAATGTTCACTCTCCATTTTAGACCTACAAAACGTGGACTGCTGCTTCGCAATAAACGAGTAATGGTCCATTCAAATGTCACGCCACCAAGCAAGAAATCAATGTCCTTCGAGCAGATTTGGGTCCCAATGGTACCACAGCTTGGAGGAGAAATTGTTACTGAAATGCCCAACGAACGTATGTTTTAGAGTATTTAGTAAAGTCATGCAAGTGCTGATGTCCATAAGCACAGGTAAACATCAGGTAACATTTTTATGATCATGTGCACAAACCAGTACTGGGAATCTTCATACTGCGCAAGGGATATTTCGATGCCGCATGGCGTTTCTGCAAAAATGTTTTATAATTTTCAGATGGAAAGCTCGACATCCTCCTTACTGATCATTCGGCTACTCCTAGCCTTGTTGAAAAAGCGCGAAAGATTGGATGTGTCGTTGTTTCATCGGAATGGTTGATACAGGTGTGTCTTTTTACCAGTATCGGTACCTATTTATTTCAAAAATGCACTTCCTAAGTTTTTTCGCTTTTTTCGTATACTGTTATTTGAAAATGAGGCCTGAGACTATATTGCCACCCTTCTGGTGGGGGCAATGCATGTAGCTGTGCAGGTTTTTTAATAATGCATCCTATCACAAGGCTGAGTTACAGGAAAGGGAATAACCACAGACAGGATTCGAACTCACTCGTCACATTAGCGAATGCTCTATCCGTTGCGCCATCTCTTAAACTCTCACCTTCAAGGCAAGCCGCGCGTTCATTTGGTATTCACGCGCCTTATTTGGACATGGGGGTCCCGCCTAAGTTTTGATGGATGTACTTCTCGGAAATAGGGATGAAAGCCCCACCCGCCAGTGACCAGGCCTCGTCTCATTGGCCACGGGCCTCCTTGTAAAAAAATGTGGATGGTTCAGCGACTCTCTCCGTTTCTAATGGTGAGAATGAGGTGATAAGGAAAAAGGATAGGCACCAACAAGTGAGAATTCTTGCGATCACGCCCTTCTTTCGCCTTATGCACGTACGAGCGCGTTTTATGGGGGCTCCTACATGGTGCAGTTCTGATGAATTTAATGCTTTTTTTTTCTTCCTGTTGTGTCATCTGCCAAAACGGTGGTATTTGAGCCAAACAAAACACATTTTTTTACGCGGAGTACACCTTCACTTCCCGACACCTGAGGGCTTTTGAGCGGGTTCCAGTTCCGTATGGGGTCAAATCTTTTGTCTGTAGCGCAGCTTGTTGTGGTAACTTTCAGAGCGCGAAACGCGGCACGAAACAACGGCCATCATAATAAAACAATCAGAAATGGGTTATATCGTCTATGTTGTAGTTTTAAAGGGGAATTATTACCGAAAGCCACCTTTCAAGTCACCTTATACTAAATTACATTTGAGCCAAAAAAATTTGAATTAGTTCGTTGTCGGAATAGTTTCTGAGGGAAGGCATTTATTTGCTCTTTGCTTCATCCCGCGTATAGTCCTTTGAACACGATTGTTATTTTCTTTTCTGTTTTGTCCGATAAACTCATGGGTAAAGGGAACGAATCGATAGAATAGCCGCTTGATTTTTGAAAAAGCGATGGCTAAACGGCACACAGTGCCAGCTATTTCAACACAAAATCAATCGGTTCAGCTGCTTTTCTTTTTTTTGTCTGTGTGCTTTTATTTTGTAACGTAGCCCACCATTTTCAGGGAATCATTATGGATCGCCTTCCTGATGTGAACGCCCATCAAAAATTCTTACATAACGGTGGTGTATGCACGTAAACATCGGTGTTTTCATTGTTTCATGTTTTTGAAAATTGTTTTATTATAGCACTTTTATTATTTGAAATGGAAGTGTTTTATAATTCGGTCTGATTTTATTTGAACATTTTTTGATATCTCACTTTTCATTTTGTTCAATGTTGTTACTTAGCTAATCGGGGCGTGTGGGTGATGATATGCTCCTATAAATGTTGTACAATTCGTTAGTATTATCTCGATCCTAGTTCTGGCAGGTTGACTAACTCGTGTAGTACACCCGCATGTCCTGTACAAGAGGATAGCTGAACTGTACTGTAAATTTGTGTGCAAACGGTAGATCATATTCATAAGTTGAAAGGTGTCAGATATAACGATTGTACTGGAATTGAATTATCTTTATGAATAATCCATGTGAATCGCCGCAACTAACTTTGATGTATTTGTTTTATCTGCAATTTCAATTACTATTGTGTTGGTCGATCTCTTTAATAAAATGTGACGTTATCACAGAGTTGCATACAGTTTCGAACGTCTATTTCGAATACCTTCTTTGTGACAGTGCTACGAACCGTGGCGAAGCAGTATTAAAGGCAAATGGCACGATAAATCATCAAGATGTGCGATTAATACGCTTAGCAGGAAAGAATTCGGCGCTTCTAGCAGGCGCTGCGTGGCCCTTTTTCAAGGAAAGTACCCTTATAGCGGCCTATCAAGCTGCAACATACCGACTAGGACGTCCACCTCAAATGTCCGACCTATGCTGGTGCTCGTATCGCTAAATTTGCGCAGTACAATATGAAGCGAAGGGGCTTGATGTGAAGGGGATTGGCGCCGCATGGATATATGAGTACATACAAGCAGCCGCATCTACCGTAGTCGTTATTGGCACGATGTGAACGGAAACTCGTCCAAAATTGCTTTCTGAGTCGTGTAGAACAAAGGGTTTCTCGTGGTTCTTTGAGCGTTTCACTTCGCCTTTTCGCCATTTTTTCACTTTACACTGCGTTTTTAGACCGTGTCCCAAATTATCGTGCCATATGCTTTTGAACATTGTGAACTTCGCCATGGCTATAGATCTATTTGGTTATTTGACCTGAG